GCAGATGTAGTCAGTTTGATTTGTATGTATTACATCTGGTTAGGTCCATATGTATAGTTGTCTCTTATGTAGTCTAAAGGTATTTGAAATGAACAAATCATTGGTTTTTCAGAATTCTATCATGTGATCTCCAGCATCATTTCTGTCACCAAGGCCATGTTTTCCAAAACTGATCCTTCCTCTTTGCTTCCAACCTTTGCATTCCAATACCAGTAATGATTAGTACATCTTGATTGCATATTTGATCGATTTCAGATTGAAGAATTTGTTAGAATTCTTCTATTTCATCCTCACTGGCTTTAGTCGTTGGTGCATAAGTTTGATTAATAGTGGTATTAACTGGTCTTGCATGTAGGTGCATCGATATTATCCTATAACAGGCAGTATTGTACATCGTGACTTACCTGGATATGTTCTTTTCGGCAATGAATAAAACACCATTCCTCTTCAATTTGTCATTCCTGGTGTAGTAAACCATGTGATTGTCAGATTCAGAATGGCCAATACCAGTCCATTTCAGCTCACTAATGCCTAAGATATCGATGTTTATGTGTTCCATATCATTTTTGACAACTTCCAATTTTCCCAGATTCATCCTTCGTACATTCTATGTTTTGATTTTCAATGGATGTTTACAGCTGTTTCTCTTCATTTTGAGTTGTGGCCCATCAGCAAATGAAGGTCCCACAGGCTTTACTCCATTCGCATCATCACGGTCAGCTCTAAATTGAGGAGGTAGTTCTTCCCCAGTAACATTTTGAGTGCCTTCCAACCTGAGGAGCTCATTTTCCGGCACTATATCTGATAGTGTTTCTTTGCTATTTATAAGGCTTTCAGTGACTATATATTCAGAAGTAGTTCATCACTGTTTCTTCCCAGTGTGTCTTCATCTGGAAGCTCATCTGAAACCTGTCCACCTTGGGTTACCTACTGGTATTTAACATACCGGTGGCATAGCATTCAGAATCACAGTAACTCACAAGCCACCATAGTACGACAAACTGACAGATGAGTGGTGGCCGTTTGGTTTTAAGTGGAAACTGTCACTTTACATTTCGAGATCTGTGCGCATGCATAGTAGAGCCCCTCCGGGGGTGCTGGTAGAGTGTCCATTCTCTCAGGCATCCCCTCTAGTCACCAGAATGGAGTTGCACCGACAGAGAGAAACCAATGAACAGATACCAGAAAAAAGAATGTCCACATCTGTATCTCTGTGGTTCCATCAGGTGTTCGTGGCTGTTCTGATCCTTCCCCCACTTGGTCTTTCCCAAGATGGCGGCTCCAGGAGCAGCTGAGCATCTTGAATTAGAAAGCAATGGATTTCTTGATTCTGCTACATATTCCCATAGCTGTAACCTTCCAAGCTTCTAAATAATCCTTTATATATGATTTAGAGTTTTAGCACCATCCCTTGAGCCTGCTTGGTCTGGTATTCTGTGTTGTTGCTGATGGAGCTCCTCACTGCACTTCTACCAGATCCGCCATTTTGTGGTAAACAAGAATGGTGGTGGTGGTGCTGGTGGTTTTGTGCTTTGGAGTCAGAACCAACTCATAGCAACCCTGTAAAGGGTTTCCAAGGCTGTAAATCTTTATGGGAGCAGAATGCCTCATCTTTCTCCCATGGAACAGCTGGTAGTTTCAAACTGCTGACCTTAAGGTTCACAGCCCGATTTGTAACCACTACACTACCAGAGCTCCTTGTAGGCAAGAATAGATTAACAAAATTACAACTATGATAAAGACTTGAAGGTAATATTGGTACTAAATAGTATATTTTAATGGTCACCTGGTGTGGCACAGTAGGATAAATGCTGGACTGCAAAGTCAGTTTGAACTGCAAGGATGGCTCTTCAAACTCAGCAGCTGCTACTAGGAAACCCTATGTGGAGTCGCTATGACTTTGAACTGACTTGAAGGCACACTTAACAACAGGAACAGAGCTTGTCAGGTTGGTTAGGAAGACCATTCTACATAGCATATTATGTTGAAATTGGTCACCTAAGTTTGCTGCTAAATTTTAAGTTCCTCAGAGGCAGGAAGCAGTTCAAGTCACCTTTATTTGTGGTACTTGTCATTTTGTAACTATGTAAACATAGCTAATTGAATCTAAAGTATACATTTTATGAAAATTTTAAAGTAAAAGATTTATTTTGCTATTATTTTGTTTATATCTGTGGAAAAGAAAAGGAAAAACATGTTTATTTCTTAAATAAACTTACCTTTCTGTAGATTCGTGGTACTCTTAAGAGCTGGACCAAGTTGTGGTGTGTGTTGAAACCTGGAGTGCTACTGATCTATAAAACCCAAAAAAATGGTCAGTGGGTAGGAACAGTCCTCCTAAATGCCTGTGAAATCATTGAGCGTCCATCAAAAAAGGATGGCTTTTGTTTCAAACTTTTTCATCCTCTGGAGCAGTCTATTTGGGCAGTGAAGGTAAGTTTTAAGCGCTTGTTATAAGGTTAAGATAACAGTCTATGGATAACTCTGAGAGAAAACATCTCATAGTAATTATAATCTATTCATTGATATGCCAGGACTTCTAAATTTTTTCATGTTCCAAGCACATTTTCCCATTTCTGTTTCTACCCATGATGAAATGTGCACCAAAAAGTTTGTTTCCCTTTAAGATCTAACATTTTTATGCAAATAAGATGCACCAATGGGAACCAAGGATTGAAACCAAGAAATTTGACTCAGGACCTACTCTAGAACTGGGTCATAAATTATAAAGCTATTTGAAAATACTCAAATATTACAAGTTGTGTGAAAGGCACAGTGTTCTTTTTCCTACTTTTTGGTTTTGATGTTCCTAATGTTTATGCTTCTTAAAATCCATTTCATTCTTTGAAGTGATAACCTTAAGAACCCTTTCAAAGCTACTTTTTAAAAATTATGCATTTTATTTTTAATCAAAATTCAACTGTAATTTCAATTCTTAGATTTTCTTTGCAGATAAAGGACTATGTCCACCTAAGTTTATAGCATTCTTCTTGTTGTAGTCTTCTAAAACAAATAGCTGTAGATTTTTCCCTAGCCCCAGTCAAAATTCATTTTTGTTTTTCTTGTAAATCATAGCTATATTCCTAGCTGCTTTCTTAAGTTTTCTAGGAATTTAATTTTTATTATCTAGTACTATCTGTGGAGTCTTGGTATGGCGCTGTAGGATAAGCTCTGGACTGAAATTGGAACTCAAGGGCGGCAGTTGAAACTCACCCGCCATCTTTGGAAACCCTATCAGGGTTACTGTGAACTGGAGCTGACTTGAGAGCACGTAACAGTAACAGCAGTATCTGGGAGATGGAAATTCTCTATTAAATAAAAATTTGTTGTAGTGTGGTAAGTTTTAAGCTTTTGTTAATATATGAGCAGTTGTTGTTATGTGCCGTGAAGTCAGTTCCAACTCATAGTGACCCTACTGTACAGGTTTTCCAAGGCTGTAAATTTTTATGGGAATAGAAAGCCTCATCTTCCTCCCGTGGAACAGCTGGTAGTTTTGAACTGCTGACCATGAGATTAGCAGACCAGTTCATAACCACTACGCTACCAGAGCTCCTTATATGAGCAGTTGTTGTTGTTAGTGCCATCAAGTTGATTCTCACCCATAGCGACCCTGTATAGGGTTTCCAAGGAGCAGCTGGTGAGCTTGAGCCATCGACCTTGCAGTTCAAACGACTTTGCAGTCTGACACCTTAGCCCACAGCGTCACACCAGGGCTCCTATTGAGCAGTATATAGCAGTAATACTGAACTGAGAATTATTAACATTGTTCAGCTTTCTGTTGAGGAAGTGTAGTTGTTAGAAGAGAAGAGCTTCTCAATATTTGCTTTCTCAAGAAGGGTGAGATTAGTGAAATCCTCTTATCTTTATTAGCTTATTTGTTTTAAAATTATAATCCATGCCTAATTTAGATTATTTTAAGTAATAAAGAATAATATTAAATTGATGTTTCATAATCCTGCATACCATTAATTTGCTTATTTTATTATTAAGGGTCCGAAAGGTGAAGCAGTTGGATCCATAACTCAGCCCTTACCTAGCAGTTACTTGATCATCCGAGCTACTTCAGAGTCAGATGGTATGAATTTTAGTAGATTGGATTTTGTTACTCATTTTTTTTAAAAAAAATATCATTTTATATTATCCATTGAAAATTTTGTTTTTAGTATGATGTTAGTAACAGACATATTCTAATCATAAATTTCTTAGAACAACAAATATTGTGTAGTTGGTAGGAGTTAGCAGTTTAGAGTCTTCCTCTCTATTGTTTATTGGTGTACTAACAGCTTTTTTACTTAGTAAATGTCCTTTCTCTTAACTAATTTAAAGTTTATCATTTAGAGATACATTTAATACTGTAGTACTGTTGGTTAATGCTCTGGACTGCAAGGTTGATTTGAACTGCAAGCTTGGTGATTCAAGCTCACCAGCCACTCCTTGAAAACCCAATACAGGGTCGCTATGAGTCAGAACCAACTCAGTGCCACTTAACAACAAACATTATATTATTAAAAGGAGCCTTCATAGCGTAGTGGGTTATATGTTTATGTGTTGGGGCTACTAACCAAAGGTCAGCATTTCAAATCAACTGTCCACTCTCTAGGAGAAAGGTGAGGCTTTCTGCTCCCGTAAATATTTACAGCTTCGCAAACTGTACAGGATTGCTGTGAATTGGAACGGACTTGACAGAAGCAGCAGGAGCAGCAGCATTAGATTATTAAATATTTACATTTATGAGATCCATACAGCCTGTTTTTGACTATTTTTGGTTGTTGTTTTTTCACATAAGAAGACATTCAAGTACAAACAATTGTATTTTATACTTAATAACTCCATACATTTTGAGGCAAATAAGGGAGCACCAAAGTTTATATATCTAAAAACAAGGTGTATCTTCAAAACTTTAAAAATCATGGATTTTATGTTCCATAATTTAACTAATTTATGGTATGCTGTAACTTTCAAAAATGTATTTTTACAGATTATTCTTGTCAATATTAAAATATAGACATGAGTTTTTGGTAAGGAAATGTTTTACTTGGTTGATATTCTCAGCAGATTTTCCTGTTAATATAGTTCTAATTTTTAACTGAAAAAAAAAAAAAATTGATGTTTTCATTAACTAATAACTGATTCGTAGAAGACATTAAATATTTTATTGTTCAAATTAACTTTTCCTGTACATGTTTCTTGAAGTTATATATTTAAAGTTGTTGTTGTTAAGTGCTGTTGAGTCAGTTCCAACTCATAGCAACTCTATATAGGGTTTCCAAGGAGCAGCGAGTGAACTTGAACCTCTGACCTTGTGGTTAAAACCAACCTTGCAGTCCAACTCATTAACATACATCGCCACATCAGGGCTCTATATTTACAGTTAATAGTGTGAAATTAAGATGAATGGTATGTACACTTTCTTGAATCACACTGGTAATGAATCTGTGTTCTTTTAGGCAGGTGCTGGATGGATGCTTTGGAGTTGGCTTTGAAATGTTCTAGTCTTCTTAAGCGTACAATGATCAGAGAAGGAAAAGAACATGACCTAAGCATTTCATCAGAGAGCACACATGTGACTTTGTATGGCTTATTACGTGCTAACAATCTCCACAGTGGTGACAACTTCCAGTAAGTAGATATTGGGACTAATTTAGTAGATATACAGAGTAAAGAGTATTCATTTGACTTAGCAGCCAATTATAAGAAAACAGGTTAGAAAAAGGGCAGTTGTAGAAAATGATGGAAAGGTAAGTGCAGACCAGGTCACCAGAATATTTCATGTCATGCTATGTGGTTTGTATTTTGTTCTATCTGGGTAATAGGACGTGCGCTAATGAAGGAGATGAATGTGTAACATTGTGGGAAGAGTTGTTGTTGTTGTTGTTGTTAGGTACCATCGAGTCAGCACAGACTCATAGCAACCTTATGCACAGCAGAACGAAACAATGTCTGATCCAGGGCCAACCTCAGTACTGTTGCCACATTTGAGTCCATCGATCCTGCCACCTGGCCATTCCATCTTGTTGGGGGTCTCCCTCTTTTTCTCTGACCCATCGTCTTACCAAACATGATGTCCTTCTCCAGCAACTGTTCCCTCCTGACAATATGTCCAAAGTATGAGAGACGAAGTTTGGCCACCTTGGCCTCTAAGGAGCACTCTGGCTGCACTTCTTCCAAAACAGATCTATTGATTCTTTTGGCAGCCCATGGCACTTTTAGTATTCTCCTCCAATTGATTAAACATGCAGTCAAGATGTATTGCTTAATTTTACTCATGAGGAAGAGTAGTGGGACCCAAAGAAGACTTCTCATAGTCCCAGGTGACTTCTAATGATCATGTAAAATGGTGTCATGACTTTAAGAAATGTGAGGAAATAGGAGATTTTACTAAAGAAGAATCAATATATTCATTCAGTTATAAGACAGAATATGAGTTAGGAGCTGATGTTGATAAGAGAGAGAAAAGTACCCTGCCTTCTAGAGATTTACAGTGGATTTAGGCATAAGAAATATGTGGTAGGTAAAGTTAAAGATGATTCTCAAATATAAGCCTGAGTGACTGGGAAAGATGATAAAATAGAACAGAAAAATGTGTTTCAAGGTTATATGATAATTTGTTAGTGATTAAACATGTTAAGATAAGGTGGTCCCAGGACACATAGGTGACATCACCCAAGCATTAGAAACATGGATCTGAAGCTAAGTTCTGAATACATGGATTTCGAAATCATTATACAGAAATGATTATGAAACCTTGAAATTAGAAAGTTTACCAAAGGAAAGAGAAGATAGAAGAAAAGTACCAAGAAAGATGAAGCTCTTTAAAGGTTAAGAGGAAACAAGAGAAGTCAGAGTCAAAAACGTAAAACTATAAGAACCTGGAATCCAAAAATGGTGACAGTTCCGAGGGAAAAAAAAAAAAGTACAGAGATGTTGAGATGTCACAGGAAATAAAGCTCTTAGACAAGACTGTTGGACTTGGCAACTAAGCCATTGTTGGTGACCTTTTAGGGTGTAGGTTCAGTGGAATGGGGAGCATGGAAATCAGACAATGATAGGTTGAGGAGACACTGGAGAGTAAGCAAGAGGGCATTGGTAATTCAGTGGTAGAAATGTTTTCACTTTCCATGCAGGAATGCTGGCTTCATTTCCCAGCCAATGCACCCCATGTACAGCCACACTAATCTGTCATTGGAGGCTTCTGTATTGTTACAATGCTGAACAGGTTTCAGTGGAGTTTATAGACTAAGATGGATTAGGAAGAAAGGCCTAACAGTGTACTTCCAAAACTGAGCCAATGAAAATCTGATCATGGACTCTGAGACCAGAACTAGATGGTACCCAACTGCCCTGAAAGGGATCACATAGAGTGGGAGAAAATGTGGAGCAAAACTCAGAATTATTCATTAAAAAAAAAAAAAAGAATTTACTGGTCAGAAAGAAACTGGAGGAACCTGAAAGTAATGACCCATGACTAACCTTCAGGTCTGGAAAGGATTTCATCATGGTGACCCAATTTCCAGCCAAGCAGTAGATAGTTTTGTTTGGCCCCCTATAAACCTATCAAGGCATGCTAGCTATGGAATGGTCAGTAATTCACAATCAAAAGGGCAATATTTTCCTAAGGAAAAAAATTGAGAAAGGATAGGAAGGTTGGTCTGGTGGGATGCAAATAGAAATCACAGAGAGGAAGCAGGACAACTGTTGTTGCATGGAAGGGCTTGTAGCCATTGAGATGAAAGTCTATGATTTGTTGGATGTAAAGGTGATCTTGTCTGTAAACTTTCAGTTTACAATTTAAAAAAAAAAAGGAAAATCTGAACCTGGGGATGGCCCAGGACTGGGCAGCATTTTTGTCCTGTTGTCCATAGAGCCCTTTTGATTAACAACCATGCTTAACAACAACAAACAACAACAGATGGGAAGGAAGCAGAGGAGCAATTTTAGACTGCTTTTAAAGTATATATGATTGTAAGTGGAAACAAAGAAAGCATTTTTAAAATGTCTAAGTAATGTTACCTGATTAAAATCCAAACTACTGAAGATTTCAGAAAACATAAAATAAAATGGAAACAAAAGAGGCCATCTTTTCTGCTCTATTGCAGAAGATAGGCATTATTAAAATGGCAACCTTTATTCATTTGGAAGGTATTTCAGTAGTTATCCTTATAAGATTTTTATGCTAAATGAAATTCATAGATACTTTTAGAAATAAATTTCTAAAAAAACATTTGATTCAGGAAATGTTTTTAAATTTTTTATTATTGCTCCCCTTTTATAAAAATAATTTCCTCTCATCTCTTTAAGTAAATTTAACATTGACTAGCCCATTTTCTTGTGTTGAAATTTCCAGATTGAATTGTCTGAAATTTTGCCCCAAGATTAGGTATTAAGAGCATTAAGTATCTCTGTCAAGTATTAAATAGAATTGACTTTAGATCTATTCTTAAATTCTTTGCCTTTTGCATTTTCCTGGTGTGATGCTGTGGGATAAGCACTGGACTACTAACACTAACCACAAGGTTGGCCGTTCAAACCCACCAGCCACTCCTTGGAAATCCTATACAGGGTCACTTTGAGTTGGAATCGACTCAATAGCTTTCAGCAACAACAGCAGCATCTTATTCTTGAACTTTTTCGGAGAGATTTTGGAGACCTTTGTAGGTAAGGGGTTGAGCTATGAACCACAAGGTCGGCGGGTGGAGAAAGAAAAATTGATAGTCACAGAAACCCTAGATGGGATCGCTAGTTGGAATCGACTCAGTAGCACTGGGTTTAGTTTGGTTGATGTGGTGGGTAGAAAAGAGTAATTCGTTGGAATTCACTTCTGAATCTGTGGATCTTAGCTTGAGTGTTTTTCTTTAGACCAAAAGTGACAGTGAGGCTGATTTAAGCAATGATATTTGTGAAACTAATTAAAAGAAAAATCTGGCACAACGTAGTCTAAAATTTCATTCTTGGAAAATCATAGCTCCAAGTGGCAAAGAGGTAAAGAGCTCAGATTGTCATCTTAGCATTTCTCAGTGTTTATATTTAGCTTCTTTTTACCTCCATTTACTATCTGTAAAGTGAAAATAATAGAAGTAAATATCTTGCAGGGTTATTTTGAGGATTTAATGAGTTTACTTAATGTCCTGTATACTGTTAAGTTTCAAAAAATGTTATCTGTCATTCTTACTTCTTAATTAAATCTCCTTAACCTCCCCTCAGATTAAATGATAGTGAAATTGAACGACAGCATTTTAAGGACCAGGATATGTATTCTGATAAATCTGATAAAGAAAATGACCAGGAGCATGATGAATCTGACAATGAGGTGATGGGGAAAAGTGAAGAAAGTGATTCAGATACATCAGAAAGGCAAGATGACTCATACATTGAAGCTGAGCCTGTTGAGCCTTTAAAAGAGACTACCTACTCTGAACAGAGCCATGAAGAACTTGGAGAGGTAAAAATTGTCCTTTACCAAGATTTTGATCTTCTGATTTTCAGCTGAAATTACTTATTTTCCTAAAACACAACATATGTGTGCTATCCATTTTATTTTATAAGAATTTTTATTATATTTATATTCAAATTTATAAACTCTACATATATGCTTGCATACATGCTAGCATATTCTATTAAATATAAAGTTTATATTTTTTTCAAGTTTGCTATTAAAACAGGATATCTTTTCCTATCATAACCAGGTGCAAAGTAAATTGCAAGGAAAGATGAGTTTTCAACTTTTTATTATTATTACTAGTCCTTGGAAGTAAGTATAATATAAAGTAATAAAGCATAATGCTTTTTATTATGGATCTTATATTCGTGGTGGTGGTTATGTGTCATCCAGTTGGTTCCAACTCCTAACAATACTGTATAAGGTTTTCAAAGCGGTAAATCTTTACGAGAGCAGAAAGCCTCTTCTTTCTCCTGCGGAATGGCTGATAGATTTGAACTGTTGACCTTGTGGTTAGCAGTCCAACTTGTAGCCCAGTATGTTACCAGGGCTCCATGGATCTTATATAGAAGGAAGTATAATATAAAATAATAGAGTATAGTACTTTTTATAGTAGATCATATATACAGAGAGATAGAGATAGATTGAAGTCTTGGTGTGGCATTATAGGATAAGTACTAGACTCTTCACTGCAAGATCAGCAGTCTAGACCCATCAGCCATTCCTCAGAAGCCCTGTATAGACTTGATGTGAGTCAAAACTGACTCAATGGCACTTAACAACACATATATATTACTCACTTTGTCTCTTGCTCTTCCCTTTTTACTTTAATTTTATAGTTATAGACTTTATTAGTTAATGGGTTATTGCTGTACTTAAAGAATGCTTGGTAAGGTCCAACTTTTGCTCTTTCTGTATGAAGCAAAGAAGTGTTTAGAAAATGAAAAATGGATAGAAACAATTAGTCCAAAGGATTACTTAATGTAAACTTCAGCCTCCATGACCCAAAAAGACCACATTTATTGGTCATATAGAGACTGATTGAACCCCAAGATTATTGCTTTTAGTAACCCTTCAAGTCTGGAAATGAGCTCACCTCCGTGGCTCAATCATCAGTAGGCTGTTAATCTCAAGATACGTGGTTCAAACCCATCAGTCACTCCATGGGAGGAAGCTGAAACTGTCTTATCCCTTAAAGATTTACAGCCTTTGAAACCCTACCTACATAGAGTCACTATGAATTGGAATTAACTCAATGGCAGTGGATTTGTAAGGTGAACAGTAACATCAGGGAGGTGGCTGCACGTTAGAGCAACCAACCATATGAAATCAAAGAGCAGCATTTGTTCAAGTTTAAAGATACGGAGGCAGGAAGGGATAGAAAGGATGAATGAACACGGAAAATATCAAGAGAAAGTGGGAAGAATGCTATTACCTTGTGGGGATTACAGTGTCATGAATAAAAATGCGTATGAATTGTTAAATTAAAACATATTTATAAACTTTAATCCAAATCATAATAAAAAAAATTTGTTTTAATTCTAAAACTAGAAGTAACAGTTGATTGCTACCATATGTAAGTCATTCTGAAAAGTTGTTGTGTTAGGTGCCATCGAGTTGGTACTGACTCATAGCAACCCTATGCACAGCAGAACGAAACACTGCCCGATCCTGGGCCAACCTCACTATTGTTGCCACACTTGAGTCTATTGATGCTGCCACCTGGCCAATCCATCTCGTTGGGGGTCTTCCTCTTTTTCTAAAGTAGCTCTTTCATATTGTCCAGTGGAGCTGAGTATGTGAAAACAGGAAACTGAATATGCTTTTGTAAGAGTGCTCAGGTAGTCATTTTTATTCCATAAGAATTTATAAAATCAAGAGAGAATAAATATGTTGAAGGCCAACTTTTACACACTACACTGCATTTTCAGTAACTGGTAGGAGAAAGCACTTTATTTGGTAACATCTTTTAAAAACTGTCTAATCCCTCCTCCCTTAAGTATTCTCCTCTGTAAAAGAGAAATGATAACACCAAAAGTGGTATTAAGAGAATAAAATAAAATGTTTATTGTTGTTAAGTGCCATCAAGTTGGTTCTAACCATAAATTAGATATGGTTTCTGAGGTGGATTTGAACTGCTGACCTTGCAGTTAGCAGTTCATTGCTTAATCTACAACATCACACCAGGACTCCTGTATTCAATTTCTTGTCATTTAATTGTGATATGAATTGCTGAGGAGCTGATTAGCAGTTTCCCTCCCTCCCTCCCCCTGACTGCCACCCCTAAAAAAGAGAAAGAAGTCCAACAATTTGTTACATCTCAAAAGATTTGCTGCAAAAGATCTCTTGAAATTATTTAAAAACTGAGGTGTTACTTTGAGGATTTAAGTGTGCTTGACCCAAGCCACGGTATTTTTAATCACCTCATATGCATGTTAAAGCCGTGCAGTGAAAACTAAGACCAAAGGAGTATTAATGCATTTGAATTATGTTGTTGGCAAAGAAACTAAATATATCATGGACTGCCAGAAAAATGAACAAATTTGTCTTGGAAGAAGTATAGTCAGAATGTTTCTCAGAAGGAAAAATAATGCTACTTTGTCTCACATACTTTGGACATGTAGAGAGACTAGTTCCCGAGAAGGACATCATATAGAGGGTCAAGGAAAAATAGGCTGCCCCTCAATGAGATGGACTAACACTACGTTTGTAACAGTGGGCTCAAACATAATAATGATTGTGAGAATGATGAAGGGCCAGGCAGAGTTTCATTCTGTTGCACACACAGGGTGTTATAAATAAGAACTGACCTAACTGTACCTAACAGCATCCACCACCCTAAACAATAAAATGCTGCAATTGCCTATCAAAATGGCAAAATGGGAAGAATGCATAGAATTTAAATTGTTAGAAGGTTTTTTTTTTTTAAGTTTTTATTTTGAATTGAGTCATCGTTTACATGGGAGAACATCAGTTCTACACTTAGCATTTCATTGCAATGATTACAACCTCTTCCGAGCATCATCATTCAAAAGTATTTGTTTCTATTCCCTCTGTTGGGTTTTTTGGAGGGTGTAGAGATGTGGAACAGACCATCAGTTACTCATATGCAAATTCAAACTGAAGCTGAAGAAAATGAAAACAAGTCCACAGAGCCAAAATACGACCTTTAATATATCTCACCTGAATCTAGGGATCATCAGAAGAACAGATTTGATACATTAAACTGTAAAGACCGAAGACCAGAAGAGTTGTGGGATGACATCAAGAACATCATACAGGAAGACAGCAAAAAGTCATTAAGAAGACAAGAAAGAAAGAAAGAAAGGAAGGAAGGAAGGAAGGAGGGAGGGAGGGACGGAGGGAGGGAGGGAGAAAGAAAGAAAGAAAGAAAGAAAGAAAGAAAAGGTCAAAATGGATGTCAGAAGAGACACTGAAACTTGCTCTCTAGCATAGAGATGCTAAAGCAAATGGAAGAAATGAGGAGGTCCAAGAGCTGAACAGAAAATTTCAAAGAGCAGCTCGAGAAGATAAAGCCAAATATTACAACAAAATGTGCAAAGATCCGGAATCAGAAAACCAAAAAGGAAGAACACGCTCACCATTTCTCAAGGAAATGAAGAAAAAATTGCAACCTCAACTTTCATTATTGAAAGATTATCTGGGAAAATTATTGAATGATGAAGAAAGCATTAAAAGAAGATGGAAGGAATACACATAGTCACTGTACCAAAAGGTTAATGTTCAGCCATTTCAAGAGGTAGCATATGATCCAGAACCAATAATACTGAAGGAGGAAGTCCAAGTTGCATTGAAGGAATTGGCAAAGAACAAGGCACCAGGAATTGATGGAATCAAAATTAAAATATTTCAAGGAAGTGAGGCGGCACAGGAGGCACTCACTCATCTCTGCCAAGAAATTTGGGAGACAACTATTTGGCCAACTGATTGGAAGAGATCCATATTTGTGCCCATTCCAAAGAGAGGTGACTCATCGAAATGCGGAAATGAATGTACAATCTCTTTTGATATCCCATGCGAGTAAAGTTTTACTAAAGGAAATACAGAAATGGCTGCAAGCATATATTGGCAGAGAACTTCCAGAGGTCAAGCCGGATTCAGAAGAAGCTGTGGAACAATTGCTGATGTCTGATGGATCTTGGCTGAAAGCAGAGAATCAGAAAGATGTTTACCTATGCTTTGTTATTGACTACTCAAAGGCTTTCGATTGTGTGGATCATGACAAGCTATGGACAACATTGAGAAGTATGAGTATTCAGAACACTTAATTGTGCTCATGAGGAATCTGTACCTGGACTAAAGGCAGTTGTTCGAACTGAACATGGGAACATTGAATGTTTTAAAATTAAGAAAGGTGTGTTACAAGGTTGTATTCTTTTACTATACTTATTCAACCTGTATGCTGAGCAAATAATCCAAGAAGCTGGGTTATGAAGAAAAACGTGGCATCAGGATTGGAGAAAGACTCATTAACAACTGACGATATTCAGATGATACAACCTGCTTACTGAAAGTGAAGAGGACTTAAAATATTTGCTGATGAATATCAGAGAGCACAGCCTTCGGTATGGATTGCATCTCAATGTAAAGAAAATGAAAATCCTCACCACTGCACCAATAAACATTCTTATCAATGGAGAAAAGATTGAAGTTGTCAAG